GCCGGAGTTGAACAGCTCTTCAAACTTCCAGGAAAGAAGACCCCCTTTTGCCCCATTTGTGAATTTCAGCAGGGGCTTTGGGTGGGCATTTGGCAGGCGAAGGCTAGTGGCTTTTCAAAGGAACCACCCTGAAACAACACACCGGAGAAGTTTGGGGCACTTCTCACTTTTTTGAGTTCCTGGAGTCTAAATCCTTTTTGGGAAGACCATTTTTGTGGTAACCGAAGAACTCTTTTGTTGTCAATCCACTCAGGAACTCAGACTTTCAGAGAGTTCAAGGGCTCTTGGGCGACTGGGGATGCCTGCAGTGCCTGGGCTTCTGCGGTGAAACCATCAATTGAAAGGAGCCTGTAGCTGTGCCCGAAGCTGGTTCTCGGGCTTTGCTTCAGTGATTTGCGAATCATTCGCCCTGACTCAGACACATGATTAAAAGGCACCGTTGAGAGATGTAGAGCTCCCAAGCCTGCTGCATGTGTTCGCATATTTGATGCGCAACAGTCATTTAGGGGCAGGTTGCTCGGCAATTGGTCAGTGTCACCACTTAGAGCCTGGTCAAGCTGTGTTGTCCTATGACAGGTTGGTTGGAAGTAGTTGTGGTGCCTATCGGCTTACCAAGTTGATCTCAACTCAACCACTAGCCCATTCCCAATGTTAAAACATCCCCCGCATTGATAAGTATCAGATCCCCTGGGGGATTTGTTGCACCCATTTGCGCTGTTTCAATGATGGGGCAGCGTCCAGCCCAGGGGGCTTTGCTCCCTAAGAAACGCTGAGGAACCTAAGACCCTAAGAAACCGTTGGGCTTTTAGGGAATAACATGAGTTCAATCTTTCTTGTAGAATTGATTTGGGGGTTGATCAAAACCATTGGTTCGCGACAAAACTTGTATTTCCGACTAAATGGGGAAAGTGTCCCTTGGTCATTTGGGGGCGGGGGATATTGATCAACCCACATACACAGGCCATAACTACAAAATGTGCCTTCTTGTGGTCGCAAAAGGAGAATTCACGGGTGAAGCATATTTTATTCTGAGTCTGAATGTCGAACCCTGGCTTTGTTGTTTTGATGTTGTTTTTCCCAGAGCCATTTTTTGTGGACAGGGACAGATGTGTGAATTTAGATTTCTGGGATGGGCCCTTCTTACCCCCAAAGCCAAGGCTGCTTCTGAAGACTCTACGGCTGTAGGAAACAGGTACATACAGGTACCCAGTTAGCTCCTCAAAATGTGGAACCCCCTTTTGCTTGGCATTTAAAGGGCAGCCAGAGGAGCCCCACCATTTCAAGCGGCTCATGTTGTCAGAGCCACCCAGTTGGTAGTTGGTGGACCTATGAAAATGAAGCACCTAGCGAGCCGCCAACGGCTGGGGCAAGCGCGCCAGCGCCAAGCGCAGGCTCCTGCGATGCCTGGTGCAAAGCTGCTGCTTGCAACCAGGAGGTGGGCATCCAAACTAAGCGTTCCCAATCCCTGCACCTCAGGAGCTCGATTTTTGGCTTTGCTTGTGAGAAGGCAAGGCCTCGGAGACTACAAGGGAAGAAACAACAGGCTGGCGCAACTTGGTGAATGCGGTTTGGTCGCGTGGGGCAACAGTGCGACTACAGCTTTTGGAAGCGGCGGGCTTTTGTTTCGGAAGGATCCTTTGCCAGTCCAGGCTGCCAGCAGAGAAATGCTAAGCCTAACCCCTCCGCACCTTCGAGGGGAGCTTCCTACAAAGCGTGCGCCGTTGCGTGGCATTTTAGGAGACTTCACTTTGGGCACCCCTTACCCAGGAGGAAGGTTCTCCATGTCCCATGCCCTAACCCGCCAGCCATTGTGTTGCGCCGACCATGTCATCCTCGGGGAGGACACTAGCTATTGCCTTTTGTTGAAGATATCCTTTCCGGTGTTTTGATCTAAAACGAAACCAATGTGACACCGCTCATTTCGGGGGGGGCTCCCTGACTTTGAGCCACCCCCACATCTTGTCTGCCAAACCCCCGGCCAGGATGAGCTGCTTTGCGCGCGCGTGCTGCTCCGACGCGCCGGGCAGCCCGGCCTTAGGCTGAAAGGGTGCTGGCGTGATTGAATATGGGTCTGTCTTTTTTGAGGGCACTTGTTTTTCGGTTTTAAAGGGAAGCCCAAAGGGAACCCCACCATTTCGGCGGGACCTACGGAAAAAGACGCACCCATGCAGGGAATCCGGTTGGTCCTTTTGCTCGTTGGCTCCGATAGTCGTTGCATGAGGTGCTCCGGCCATGCCAAGGTGCATGGCAGACTGCCGCTGGAGGAGCGGCTGCGGCAAGGAGCCCAGAACTCTTCTCCCTGAGCCTGGGTAAATTTGAGCGAGCAAGCCCACCAGCACGGTCCTTTGCTGGGGGGGGTCGGGGGTTCTCATTTCCGTTGTATGAGGTGGAGTGTTAGCAAGGATTCAGCAAGAGTGTTGGTTTGAACATGCTTCGAACCGTCCGCTGGGCCTTGCTTCCCTAGACCACAGGAAAGGTTTTGAAGGGGGTTCCCTTAAAGTTCAAAGGAAACCAAATCGGGGATGGTGTTTCTTGGGGTCATTCCAACTCATTCGCGGCCTATCGAACCAGCAAGAACAGAGTTGAAGTAATGGAAACGGCGTATGGAGCTTTGCCAGGTTGGTTTTTCGAGAAAGCCGCGCGTTTTCTGCGCGAGCGATGGCATCGAGGCTTTGCCGAGAGCTGCTGCCCCCCGAAAAGAAAGATCGCAAGGCGCGCGCGTGCGCGCTCTTTTGTTTTTCCCTGCCGACGGGGAAGCCTGAAAGGGGTCCCAGTTGGCTGTACCTCGTGCCATCTATTTTTGGGGTTTTCCAAGCCAAGGACTTGATAGCAGAGCTTGTTTGCACTTGAAACGGGTCCCGGGCCCCAGCCCTAGCGACGCTGAAGTGGAATTGGTTTCGGTGCTTCGGTCGGGGGGGAAAAATGAACCTGAAAAAGCCACCGGGCTGTTGCATGCCTCAAATCGTGGCCCCACGTTTTGGCGTATTCCGAAGGGAAACTGCCACGACGCCAATTATTGGGGAGGGGTGTGGCATAGGCGTCCGTTTGCAGCTAGGCAAGGGATTAGACGGTACTGTCTTCGATTAGGTTCTGCCCATTTACCCATTTACCCATTTACCAGTGCCATCCATTTTTCCTGTAGGACACCTGGGCCGGGTCCCTAGCTTGACACAATCGGCCAGGCGCGAGTGGTGGTGGATCGTGGTGAGGCGGGCCAAGCGCACGAGGCCCTCTTTGATTCTGGTAGCTTCCCACCCATGGAATTCCAATCCCTGAGTGCGGCTGGGAACAAATGCTTGGGACACCCGCACATGTGCCAGGCACGTGGGAATGGATATGGGCATGGGTCAAAATAGGAGACTCCCCAGGCAGTGTTCCTTCTATGTTGGTGTTCCTTCAAAAGCCTGCTTGGGTCCAAGCCAGACGCCAAAGCAATTGCAGTGGGTCCAACATGGAACATGTGGCCTCACCAGTCCCACCCCCAGGAAATCGATTCCACCAACACCGAAGACAGTTCAGTGTTGGAGTGAAGTTGTAAGTTGATTTGTCCGGTGCATTCAAGACACGCCCCTGATGCGCACGTCAGGAATTCCTGAAGGAAACCTTCACGGGGCTCATGGCGCTGAGTGTTGAGGACGCAGTTTTGCAGATGCTACGGTGGATGCCGCTGTTTTACAAGTAAAGCAAAAAGGAAAGCCCCTAAGTTATCGTGCATGACCATGGTTTTGTGGTTGATTATATACAGCTATAGAATTGCGATTCCGCAAGCACTGGACTGGTATTTTGATTCCCGCTAAGAGGTCATTAAGTAGAAATACAAATTCATTCACTCAATATCCTTCGTTTATGTTCATTTCATTTTTAATATTTCAGTTTATTTCCTTTCAGTTCAGCTCATGTCTTTCTACTCATTTTCATTCCATTCTGTTCCGTTCGACTCTATTCCATTCTATTCTATTCCATTCCCTTGGCTATTGGCGTTGGCCGTACCTTTGTTCTGCTTCAATTGCTTGATTTGGGGAACATGCGCGCCGAACGCGTCTTGCGAGCACGTAACCCTTAACATCTGACCCGATCCCTCCTTCTCTGTTGGATGAATTCTCCAACTGGCGAGTTATGGCAGCTCACATAGGATCCATCATGGGTTAAGGGATCCTTGCTTCTGACCCATAAACTTTGTCCAGGAGCTCCGCAATCCTCTGAGCATTTGCTTCAAGAACGAGGCAAGGGACGGGACCAGGATGTTGAATGGCTGTTTTGCTTTCTGGTTTGGGCTTTTGTCAGAAGTGAGGATGAGGCGCAGCAACAAGGGTTCACTGATGTTTCCTTTTTCTACCAGGTCACTGGGCAACTAACTGCCTCATATGGAGCTGTTCTGGGCCCTTTCGACAGCCAAACCGCGTCAAGCATCCCGGGGCTTGTGAGGGTAGGGGTGCTTGCCGCACGCTGGCTTAAGGATTGGTTTCGCCTGTTTGGAAGCAAAACCGAGATCGACCACTTTTCGCAAGCTGCGACGCTTGGGGAGATGAGTGTCATACCTGCCCAAACCAGCCAGCGCCGCGCTTCCCGCAGCCGTGACGTTTCACTCAGACCTAGGTATAGTACCAAAGCCGGCTAGGCAAAGTGAGCATGTTGGCGCAGTTTTTGCAAAAGCCTGGGGCGCTTTTGGGCTGAAGTATGACCTAGTTTCCTCTGGCACCGCGCTACTTCAATTACAGCGCACGCTGGCCAATGGCGTGTCAAGGCTTCGGACGGCTGATATGTTCCACTGCTGGTGCTGTATCTCGAATTGCTTTTGACGCCAAACCCCGTGGGAAGCTCCAGCAAGGCAATCGCAAAAAAATCGAAGCACGCACACTTTTCTAGCTTTCTGCAAGGTCTGCCGACTCACCTGACCCACCCAACTCCTTAGGTCTTTGCGACCCGAACCAACAGCCCTGGGTTCCGCGTCCCATTCGCCTCGGGTGCCGCTTGGGCATCCCGCGACGTGGGACATCGCCATGGACGGGATGGATGCCCTGCGCAGTGGCAGCCGTTTTTTGTCCATTTTTCTTTGTTTGTGTTATTCTTTTGGATGGGGTAGGTGGGTGGGCCTTTACATCAACCAACTAACAAAGGGTGCCCTTTTCATTTTTTCTGTGGAAATGCATGCTTCTGAGGAAGGGGCCACAATCCCCCTGAGCTTTCACAACTTCTGGGTGGCTTTGCTCATGGTGCCCCTGGCAGCATCTCGGCCGGGGAATGAACACACATGGAAAGGACCAGACTGGAAGCACGTTTGTGCCCACCAGCGCTCTGAATCGCAGCCTGCATGTGTTTACTTATGTTGGCATTTATGTTTTTGGTGCGCCGGTTTTGCGATTGTTGTTACACCTTTTGCTTCTGGCATATCGTACGGTATACCTATCTTGAGGGGCTCGGACCGGAAGAGAAAATTGGGGTCCCGGGAAGCACAGAAAGGAAACACAAAAGCAGTGTAAACTAGCCGCCAGAGAAAACACAACGTGTAAACAAACGTAGATAAATCATAAAGATGCAGAAATCGTATTGACATCGTACATGTGAATCGTAAAACACACGTACAGAACCACACAAACAATAATCAGGAAAACACCAGTCAGGCTGACATCATAGGTCACAACCCTAGCACCAAGCACAAATCAAAAGAATGCGTTTGCTCCGCACCGTAGCAAGATGACGAATCCACAAGGTTGCTTGGGTTTGGTTTCCTCTTCTAGGGGGCTCGCATGTTCTATCTTGGTAACATTTTCCAAACCAGCAAGACACAGGCGGACGTCGACGCCACGACGCGTTCGTCCTTAGGTCTGGGTGCTGCAGATTGCGTTTCGCCTGGGCGCCGCGGCGCTGGTGCACTACCGGCTCAGCTCATCGCGCCCGGTGGTGCTGGAGAGGATGAGCATCTACGCCTCAGAGCTCTTCGGATGCGGGTTAGGTGCGGGTTGAGAGCGGTGGTTTACCATTACCTATGGCCGGAGGAGGTGGGTTAAGATTGGCAAAGGGTTGACAGATGAAATGGGGACCTAGAGCTTAGTGGAATCGATTTGGGTGACGTGGCAGAGGGGTACTGCGACCTCCTGGCAGCTCCCAGCGTTTGATAGCCTTCAGGTACCGCTGCAGACTGTCCTTGCCCTTGCCTGGCCTTTCGGTCTTGTACTTGTTTAGCTCGCTCAGGTTCCAGATGCTCATCCGTCAGCACTTCAACCAGGCAGATGGGGCGGATGGGTGGGTCTTGGTTACTTTTCCATCGGCAGGTGCCGTAACAGCTGCAGCTTGCGGGGTGTGAGGCTCATACAATCTTAGGCCTCCTTGGGTGCAGAGGCCTCTTGGGAAGGGAAGCCAAAAAAGGAAACCAAGTCCATATCCCTATTTTGACACATGCTCATGTTGATTTGGTCCATGTTGATGTTTCTTTTTGCCACGTTGTTCCGTTTGGATTTCCAGCTCCTTTGGGCAAGAACCTTTTCCTTTGGTCATTGATTTTCCTTCTGTTTGGTGTCCCTGAAGTTGGTCGACTTTCTTTTATCCAGTGGCCCCGTGTAACGTGTTCTCATGGACCCAGGTGCTGCGCATGCGGCAGGCGGTGCCGGCCCGCACCCTGGCAGCGGTGCCTGTAGGGGCGCACCTGCAACCAGAGAGCCTCCATTTGGAGGAGCCTCGAAATTGGGTGGGGGTTGGCTCAGTCCAGGGGTTTGGGGTGGGTTTAGGGGGGTCCTCTCCCTAAACAAAAAATCACACACACCTGCGTTGAGGTAGGCAAAGTATGAAGCAGCATCTGAATATAGTTTATGAGTTTTGGTGTACCCCGGGTTGGGCCAGTGGTTCAGTCTGGCCCAGTGCTTCCAGGCAAGACGCTATGGCAGGTGACCCTTCGCTATTCTCACATCTAGGTTTTTATGGTGGTTGCCCCTGGCCACCTGCTGGATTGGCAGCTGACCCACTGTGGGCTCTCGAATCTGGGGGATGGAAACCCATAAAATGCAGAAGCCACTTCAATGGACCCAGTCAGCGGCGCCGATGATGTTCCCATGCTTCTTCGGGTTCGGGACCCACTACGAATTAGCAAAGCATGACTGGTGAGCAAGATGGAATTTCCCCGATGTTTGCAGCGTCACTGGCCTCCAGCGCGACCAGCAGCTGACAGTTGACCAGCGGTATGCCTCAAATTCATGGCAGGCGCTTACATAGTACTTTTGCCCCTCTTTGCGCAGCATCCGTGGCAAAGCCTCACTCGTCCCAACCGGGTTCATACGAGGTATGCTGAATCATTTGAACCTAGTAGCGTTGGCAAGGTTCCCTTGTCCCTATCGCCAGAAAGACTGAGGCAAACACCATGTTTTGTTTGGGGAGCCCTTTCGCGGCAGCCCCTTGAATCAATCAGCTGACCCCAACGGGGAAGACGGTTAGTGCCGTTGCTGTTATCAGGGCAGGTCTGTTGAAGACATGTTAACACCATGCGCTCAGGAGAGCCCTGACCAAGTGATCGTGCGCTTCCGGGCAGATGCGAAGGCGCCTGCCCAGGCAGGAGTCAGGAGGGATGGATTGTGGGATCGGCGGAAGGCATCAGGTGGGCTAGGCCGCTAGGCGGCACATTGAGTAAGCAGTATCCGTTGATTGCCTTGGTATCTTGGTTTGTGGACGCTGGTGTGTGTTTGTGTTTTTGGTTTGTGAACTTTGTCCGAAACGCAAATGTGCCGTGGTCAAATCTGGCGTCAGTGCAACGTTTTGCTTCGCACCAGTTGCTGCCCTTTTCCTTAAGTGCCAAAGAAACAACTCAACTCACTCAGTTGGGAGTTCAGGTGTTTGTATGCGTCCCACTTCAACAACAAGGTCTATCTTTGGAAGTTTATATAGCCGGACTTGTTGTAGTATCCACGGCAGGACGTGAGCAGTACCGGTGGTACATGGGGATTTGAACCGCCCCAGCTTTGATGGCACGACCAGGTCTTATACTGTCCGATCAGCATCGCGTTACTCCATACCATTGCCTGCTTGGAATTTTATATAGTTGGCCTCCGCCCTGCCTTCCGTTGACCCAGAGGTCCCGATCGAAGTGACTCCGGTTGGCTAACCTGGTACAGGGTTTCACTCCCTGTTTTCTGGCTTATATTTCCTCAGGACACCCAGGAGACACCGATAATTTTTTCAAAATCTATTTTGAGACCTGGAAGCTTGTCAACAATTGGTTTGTCTTTGTTTGAATGTATCCCAGTTTGGCTTGGTCTTCAAGGGAACCCAAGAGGAAACCAAAGACCGCCTTTCTCCCAGCGAGGTGAGCATCTTTTGGGGGGTGACCATGCAGGCGGGAGCGATCGAGTTTCTCCGGAAGGTAACTCATTCCTTGCCTACCGAAACCAGCAAGTTGAGCCGGTCCATTGGCCGTTCACACCCGCAAAGCAGGACCCAAACGCGCCGCCCCCAAACACCGCAAACACACCCAAAGCAACTGAACAAACACAACTAGAGTTGTGCTTGGGCAGTTGTGTGAGCCTGACCGCAGCTTTGACAAGAAACACTAGTTTGGAGTTTGCGTTTTAGTCTGGTCCATACCTAGTGATCCTTAGATTGTCAGATCCTTAGGCTAGAGCATCTGAACCCTGCCCGGAAACACAAACCTAGGTATCAAAGCATAGAGTTAAAGAGGTATGAGTGGACGTCTACCTGAACACTCAAAATTATTTACGTCTGCAATACTCACCCATGGGCGCGTGTTTTTTTTTGAGGGTACCCTTGTGGTTGTGGTGTTGATGGGGGGCCAGAAGGAACACCGAAAGCATGTTTGGGGGTCCGATTCCTAAAAAAGGACACATCCTATTACAAAATCCTGCAATTCCCAGAAACCCTGGAATGATGATTCCCCTGTAAATACCAACAATCAAGCGTTCCCATTGTTTCAAAGTGTCACAGGATTTTGTCCATGCACAGTAGGGCGTGCCTTGCTTCCTGTGGAAGCAACTCCACCCAGGCCTGCAACGAGTTGGCCACCCGGGAGGATCTCCGGGAACCGCTGTTCCAAGCCCAGCGCTCCCAGCAAGCGCTAAGTGCCGGCTGCGACCAGGAGGTGGTGATAGGCAGGCGAGAAAGGGGCGATTTGACTCGCCGATGTTTGAATTTCGAGCGGTGCAAAACCGAAAGGACGAGGGATTCCACAAAAATGTAGCTCACATCCATTAGTTTAGGTTTAGGAATTGCAGATGTGCAGGGGCTCGAAAGGGAGACCTGCCCTTTTACATGTAGGATGCACACAGGTAGGCGCATTATCATGCGCATTCATATGCGTAACGCGCATTCATTAAGAACATAAATGTATGTGGCACACGTATATATATATATATAACAAAGCCCCCAACCATGGAATCCCCAAAGAAATCTCCGAAGCACTGATCCCACCCCAACTTTCAAAGCTTGGAGCCAAACGGGCAGAGCCGCCTGCTTCAAATGGCTCGAGTCTTTCTTGTCTCGCGAGCTTGCCCACAAGGAGGTGCATCCTAACGAGGTGATCAACTTATCAACCAAGCCACTCAGCTACTCAGCCACTCAGCCACTCAGCCACCGGGAAGTCACTCAGCCACTTAGCCACTCAGCCGCTTAGCCACTCAGCCACTCAGCCACCCAGCCAGTCAGCCACTTAGCCACTGAGCCACTTAGCCAATTAGCCACCGCGAAGCCTCTTAGCCACCGGGAAGCCACGAAGCCACGAAGCCACTTAGCCACTTAGCCACTTAGACTGTTAAGTGGATAAGTGGCTAAGTGGCTGCACTCGTTTTTGTCTAAGTCGCTAAGTGGCTATGTGGCTGCTCGACAAATCCGACCCGATCTGCACACACACTCTTCTATATATATATATATAGGTATGTGTACATGTATGTATACACATATACATATATGAATATATATATATACATATTCTTGTAAGTATGCTCGTGATGCTATGTAGTTTAGACCTCGTTGTGTCACAAAGTACTTGTATCACAGGAGAGGCTCATTCCACGCGACGGGCGGCCTCAGCCACGCGCGATGGGACAGCGCTTCAAACTTTTTTTGGGGGGGCCCCGAACATGGCTTTGGCTTTAGTCTTGGTTTCCCTTTTAAACCACCATTAAAAAAGGCAAAAAACAAAGCACAAACTCACATGCAAGCTGCGAAATGTGAGATTAACCCCTTCCTCCCCCCCTTCCTCCCTCCCCTTCAGCTTCATTGTATGGTCGTTTTGCGAAGATGGCGGCAGAATGGGGGGGAGGGTGCTCTCAAGGGTTCACCCAAATCCCCATCCGCCGGTTGCTTTTTGCCGCATTCATGCACGGCAATCCACCATCTGGCAAAAGCTGAGCCCACCTGAAGGTAAAGCGGGTTTACGCGACGAAAGGTTTTGGGGGAGATGTGGTGCCTTTGTTGTGTTCGGGAAAACACAACAAACAATGATTGGCTCAACCACAAAACCAGCTCAAACCCAAAAGTAAGATAAATTCAACCACCAATGACCCTACTAGTAGGTCAACCACAAAGTGATTGTTTCAACCTCAAACCAGACCTGTAGAATCGTTCAGGTGAGGACCTTACTGCCATCCATGCCTCGGGTTACGCTGCACCCGGCAGGAAAGCTGCGGGCTGGCGGGGCTTTCGGTGTGGCTGGGTGTGTGTTTTTTGAGGGACCCTTGCAGGAATTCACAAAAATTCCCTCGGTTTCCGTTTATGAGGGAATTAGTACGATGTTTTTCTACTGGTGTATAAGTTGTTCGGCAGTTTTGCCAGGAATTCAATCGGAACCCACTCATTTTGTGGAATATGAGGGGGGGGGGGACCTGGCTGGGCATTCAAAAGCTGAAAGAAAAGCTAGGGGTAGAGTTTAATTTTGGTCCCCAGTGTGCAGGAGCAGTTGTTCACCCTTGGGATGTCTCCGGCTAAGGTTTTGCAAATGAGGGCAAAAGACCAGAGTGGTGCTTTGCACGCATTGAGAGTGCGGCAGTGTTGTCTTGTCACTATTTGATTTTGGGCCAACACACTGCGCATTGGACATCCAAGGGTGGATTGAATAGGAAGGAAGGGGTTCCCGACCTGAAAAGAGAGGGTCCCTCGCACGTGTTCCATGGTGAAAAGGTTTACACATCGTCAAGGTCGTCTGCAAAATCATGAACAAAAGGTGGTCGAAAGATCCAACTCTCACCAGGCTTCAAAGAGAGATGGGTGTAGACCAAACAGCGCGGAGTGCAAAACTTTCCTGCGCCCAACTGCTCTGTTCCTGTAGTAGCCCGTTTGGTTAGTACCCCAGCGGACGTTGAGGTTTCCCTAAGACATTCCAAGACAGTCCTGCTTCCCACATGATCCGATCATATATGGGGTTTCTTGGTATTTACTCGCTCGGGGCGGTTGAGCAGTACGGCGGCTGCACATGGCACCTCGTGAGGATCATCGCCATTTGCGTGGCATTTGCGGGCGGTTGGCAGCTGACGCTCGCCGCCCGGCAGGCAACTTTTACCGGCAAAGCCTTGTGAAGCTAGGCTGGCCGCTCGTCCAATCCACGGATTGCATCGCACTCCCGAAACAAAGGATGTTCCGAAATACGACCTTGAGCTTATTACCCAAAGCCTGGCCGGAGCGCCAGAAAATCCAGAAACCCGCAGTACCCAGAATCCGAGGTGCAGGCCCGAAGAGAGGAGTCTGGCTTGCGGTCAGAGGTGCTGCAACAACTGGTCCTGTCCGCTGGGACTTTGCACCGGGTTCAGGCGAGAGACGAGTCAACTTTTGTGGGCGTGTCTCAAACTCCATCCAAAAAAGTTGGTTTTCTGCCTTCTAGCTTTCCTTTCAAACAGCCCCATTTTGGGGTTCCTGTGTTTTGAAACACACCCTACTTATCAGAAGATCGAAGGAAGCTGGCCTTCCAGGACTTTGAGAGGGTTTCAAAACCAACTTGTTGAACGTGATGGCTGGGAGCGCATCTTTCAAACCATACGCTTTGAACCATTTAGGTTGCGATGTTGGTATGTTGGGAACGGAGTGCCCATGGTCACAACCTGGACCCCTTGAAAAAGAACAACCCTCATGTCTGTTGACAGACGTGTTTTGTTTGCCAGGGGGTCTACGGCTTTGAGGAGGAGGACGGTGGCGTGGAATGCGCCCAGACCCGCGCCATTGGGGGGGGGGTGGTGGTGTTGGTTTATTGAGGATTCCCTGTCTTTTTGTGGTAGTTTTTCGGTGGACGGACGGTGGGCCCGTTGCTTTCGACGGCTTCTGACTCAACCGGGGAAGACGAGAACCTGATTCGCAGTCGGAAGAAGGCGGATGTTGGCTCAATGTTTGAATGGCATTTTGCTTCCTGTTGTTCGGCGGACCGAACAGCGGCAAACCCAAGCTGAGCGTGGTTGCCAGTCACGTCGGCTTCGTCGGCTAACCGTAAGGGAGCTCCCTTTGTCACGCATGCAGTGTGTCGTTTTGGGGAGACTCGAAAAAGGGCAAGACCTAGCCCTTGGACCCAGTCTCACTGCCAGGAGGTCAACAGGTCGACTTGCTTTGAGGAAGTGAGATTGCCGAGTAAGGCTCACTGGGTCGGGCTGGGGTGTGATTTGCAATTGGGGATTTTGCGGACATCCATTTGCAAACACGCACACTTGATCAATTCATGGCACACCATCGGGGCAAATCGTGTGAGGCGCGTGACTGGGGACTGGGGGCAATTTTTTAGTGGCCCCCAAAAGGATAGCCTGTTATTTCTGGTCCAAAGTGGGCAAGAGAAACAAAAATCAAAGGGTACCCATGTTTGAGTGACTGAGAAAGGCTTGGTGGACCAATTGAGCAGCGTTTTTTTTCTCAGATGATGGATTTTAGCTTCGTGGGGAACTCCCAAAAGCTCCGCGAAGGCACTTGTGCGATACATTGTGTACCGCGAAGCCCCGCGAAGCCACTTCGCGTAGCCCGGTAACATTGACACAGGCGAAGCCACTTCGTGGTTTGAGTGCATTGCGTGCTTTCGTGGTAAGTGTGTTGTGCGCTTTCATGGCAGAGTTTGAGTCAGCAGGCTACGACAAGACTACAGGAAGATTACGGGAAGACGACCGGAAGAGCACTGTGTTTCAGGCCCGGTTTTGCTAGAAACGATGGAATGTTTTCGCGAAGCCTCTGCGAAGCCTCCGCGAAGCCCCCGCGAAGCCTCCGCGAAGCCACCGCCGTCCAACTTCCATGCTTCGCCCCTTTGAGGCCCAGCCATGTCCCCTAGTCCTGAAGCTCAATGCCTCTCTTGCCGCCTTTCATCGCCCCCTTTCGCATGGACTCAACTTGATTCAACAACACAGGGGCGCAAGCCCGGCGAAGCCACTCCGCGAAGCCACAGTTTTGCCGCGAAGCCTCGCGAAGCCAACCCTCCCACAAATTCTGGCCCCGCGAGGCCCCCCGCGTAACCTCCCCAGCAGTGCATAAGCTCTGAACCTTTAAAAAAACAATGCTCAATTGGGTTCCATCTGTTTTTCCTAGCAAGACTCAGTTTGTAGTTAGTCCCTTCCCAAGGTATGGTTTGCTACGACCGGCGCCGCAGCGTCATCGTCCTGCCCTGCCGGCACTGCTCGGTCTGCGTCTCCTGCCTAAGGGCTCTGCGGGACGAGCGCTGCCCGTTGTGCCGCCGCCTGGCCCAGCAGAGCGGGCGATCCGGGGAAAAAACGATCAGATGGCCCGTGTTTGTTTGTGCCACCCCCGGAAAACTGGTTTTGGAGACCTCACTTCCCGATTTACTTTTTGGGAAGAGCCAACAAAAAGTGTATAGACTTTTTTTGGACAAGCCACCCGGGCAGTGAGAGGCTGTCCCTGATCAGTGACCCCGTGAAGCCTGCTTGGGCGTTGGTCCAAGTTGTTTGAAGCTTAATTCCCCCCTCGTGCGTATGTTTTAAAAGTTGGGGCCTGGCAGTACTTTCTGAGCGGTTTGCAAATATGGCTAGAACTGACTTCAACCACTTTTAGCGCCCTGCTTGGTTTCTGCTTGTTTCGGACCCTAGCTCGGACTGTTCATCCCCTAATGGCCAGTGAACATCATCGCTCCCCAAAGAATGGACCCCAAAATCCGTCAACCTAAGAATCTTGGGCCCTCGATCACTTTTGGTTTTTGGACAAATTCAGTGGTTTGCAACAGTAATAATCCGTGAACGACCTCTCAGCCATGTCCTTTCCCGCGTGCCTTGTTCCATGCAAGTGACTCACGGCCAGTGCAAGGGGAAAAAGCAAAATGGGAACCTATATAGATTGGTGCTTGTCCTTTTAAACGTTTGGTTTCTCTTTACACCACCCAGCAAAACTCAACAAGTACCCTAGAAAAATGCAACCCCAAAGACCGCACGTTCCGAGCGTTCCGAGGCTCCACCTTTTCCGCGTATCTACTGCTGCCGCTGCTGCAAGAGCGGGCGAGCCCCGAGGGCGCAGAGTGACCCGCGAAAAAGGGGGAGCCCGGGGAGCCCGGGGAGCCCGGGGAGCCCGGGGAGCCCGGGGAGCCCAGCGTGTGCTGTGGGGCGGGCTGGAGGGGTGGAGGGGTGGAGGGGGCGGGGGGGTTGCGGTTGATTCCCACGTGCCCGGAAGTCCCACGCATTGCTCCACTTGTCAGCTCATCTCAGAACCCAACGGGAGAATGGGCTTGGAGAATGCCAGGTCGCCGAAGACTACGGCGGACCTCGCCTGTGAGCTCAGGGGTTGAAGAGGTGTTTTCCAAAGAACACGTTTTGGTCTGGACTTGTTTGTTTGTTTGTTTGTTCGCCACAAAGGCTGCCTCGGCTTTGCATGCTTGTGTTGCCCTAAACGTGGCAGACACATTCAGTGTTTCTGCGTTGTGCGGTCCAACTGATCTTTTGGGCGGGAAGGAGGACATGGAATTTCATAGCAAGGTGGCAAGTTCTAGGAGGTATCCTCACCGCACATGCAGGTTCTTTGAACTTTTATCGGTGGCTCTCCTAGAGTGTTAAGGAACCCCATTTGTTCTTCCCATCAGATAGTTAAACTGAAAATACTGTTGTGAGAGGATCAGTGTTCTTAGGAAGTGTTGGGAGCAAGGGATTTTGGGAGACACATCCTGGGTAGCAGTGGAGGAGAGAAGGAGCGCAATGGTTGTTGTGGCCAGAGTCCCTGTTGTCGAAGGCTTGTAGGTACGTTATTTTGTTGCATGCCGCCGTGGTGAGCAGGACCTGCTGCCAAAGTTTGATCGCAGTTGAATGTCCAGATTTCCCCGCGCTGAGGCCGAGACTTCTTTTGCATGATCGGCACGCGGTTATGCACTGACTTGTGGGGGCCTTAAGGTGAGGCACGGTTCCCTGTATCTCCTTCTCTTGCCGATGTGGTAACGGATCTTTGGACTTTATTTTTTTGGTTGCAACTTTGTGGGTTTTCCATTGGACCCGCAAAATGTTATTCCCTTTTTGCAGAGGGTCAGCGGTGTTGGGAAAGTCCTCGTGGCTTTAAACGTAGCATGCACAATGAGTGTTTGAAGGGGGGGGGAGTCTTCAAGTCTGAAAGCGGCTGCGTCTCGTTGAATGGCATACAACCTGGCCCTTTCACGCACATGAGCGGAATCCGTGCAAGCATGTGGTTAATTTATGTGATGGGGTCGTGAGTCGCCATGTTGCTCAAACATTCGCGCTCGTTCACGTGGACCTTAGCAACAATCACCCGCACCCGAACTGTGACTTCTGGCCTCCAGCGTCAGACATCTAGATACAGACATCGGACTGGCTAATTCATGAGGCATTCCTTAGCCATCCGGTTCCTTAGGCTTTTAGTTGGTTTAGTGCTGTTTCCATTTGACACAGAAGTTGATCTTTTAGGGGACCTGAGGACAGCCCATTGAGATGCCCATGAAGTCAGCCAGCTTCACTCTTGGACAGTGAGCCGTCCCAGGAAAGAGCTTTGGCGGCGCTTGCCCACTGGAGCTTTGGCTGGGACCCTCGGGGTTTGGAACTGCCAGCTGCACACATTACGAGCTTTGGGGCCAAAGCGAGCTGACCCTGATGAAGGCCCTTAAAACTTGTGTGGATTATGCTTGTGAGTTAGTTTTTTGCCCAGAAACCAGGTCCTTTCTCAAGCTTTGTGATTGATTCGCCAACAATGCCCACAGCAAAGCCTGACACTGGCTTGCCGGCAACTGTTCGGCGGGTGATAGCTTGAGTTTACTTCCGCGATAGACCAAACTGCTTTGATACTGATGGCGACACATCCCGCACCGTTCATGCGTACCAGACGGAATGAGTCGATTCCCCAGTGAATAACAACAAATGCTATGGAAGTTCAACCATGGATTCAAATTGGTGCGAAAGGGATTTCGCATCCATCCACAGTACGGGCATAAGATTCGAACAATCTTTCTTGTTAAAGAGGGAAAACGGATGCAGTCCCACACAAAACATTGATTCATCAAACACACCATGTGCTGACGAAAGGTCGTGTCCAACCTATGGGTTTGTCAGTCCATCCAATTTTGCTGGGTTGGTTCCCAACTTGTATGTATCCTAAAAGTTGTACAAGCAAGTGAGGACGGGTGAAAGAGAACGAACACACATGCGCAAGATTTCGAAGCACAGTCCTGGTCACACAGATTCCAGCTTCCCAACAAACAAAGTTGCAGGAGGCAGACAGCTGTTCAGCAAAGCTACCTCCCATGCAGACGCGCTCCAAGTTGGGTGCCCCTTTTTGCAGCGGTTCCAACCCAAACACTTGGGCGCTTGAACGTTTTAAAGGGTACCTTCTCAGGTTGCCCACTTGAAAGCGCCTCGGCCGAGGCGCCGGTTCCTGACGCCGTGTCCGCTACATCCCCCAAGGAGGGGCGAGCTTGGCGCCCAGAGATATTCCTTGAATCCCCCTGGCCCATGGCCCATTTGTGGCGCCCTTTCCTCGCTGCCGTTCTAGAAAGCAAATTGTATCTTCCTTCTTGGGGGAAACCAGAAGAGGATTGATAAGTTCATTTTTGTTTCCAGACCACCTCTTTAACACCCGATTGATTTTGTGGATTCCTTTCTGATGGGCATCCCAAAGGGTTCCTTGGTTCCTGCCCGGGTCTTTGCTTGCAAGATTTCGGGCATTGACAGCCACACCAACAGTTCCAAGCCATGTTTATTTTGGACTTCTCCAAAGTCGTATCATCCCACTTTAAGTGGGAATGACTCTAAGGGCTTGGCCCGCTTACCTAGGCATCAACTGGGAGTACCTAAGTTCTTCAACCCCAGGATATGTTTCAGGGTGTCGCAGTCGCTCACAATTGCCTCACTGCGAAACTTCCCCCCCCTCCCACCCGGCTCGCAGAAAGTCCGGGGCCTTCCTCTTGTATGCCAAACATGTCCCAAAAATGCGCAAAAGGACAGCCTAGGCCCCAAATTACTTGGTTGACCCTGTGAATCCCAGGAATGCGGATCAGTTTGAACCGCGAATGGGCTGGCTTGTGGTTTGCCACCTCGTGGGAGCTGGCCCTTTGTTTGACAGTAGCTGGCGCACGTCTCTGCGGCTTCCAGCTAGCGGCTTGAGTGAATTCAGCCCAACCTAGCCAGAGGTCTGACAAGCCAAGGTTCAAGAAGAGGAAATCCCGCACTTGGCCTTGTGGAGTTGTTTTTTTGTCCAATTTGTCCCTGCGGCCGCAACCATGACCATCATGCCGGCACACCGCATGGAGCAGAAGGACGGCGCAAGGACCCTGAAGGCGCGCAGACCCGACACAAGGGGAATGCCAGGTGTGTTCCGTGTTCGTGGTGTGGGTGCCGGGGGGTGGGGAGCGGGAACGTTCCAATGTACTTGAGAGCCATATTTGTGGGCAGTGTGCATCTCCTCTATCGTTGACACCTGGGCAAGTATGGTTAGAGGGCGGGTCTGGGCTTGAGCCATTTCTCCGCGCGTTCGATGGCCGGAAGTTTAGCCAGTGCTTTCAGGCATCTAATGCAGGGGGCCAAACAGTCTGAATGTATAGGCCCATATGCACCCATAGCCATTTTGGACCTTTGGGGGCTGATTTTCCATAATTCAGCCATAACCAACGGTTGCTTAAGCCATAAAGTAGGGGTTTCATACCAGGGGTTCATATACGCACGTATACATGCAGCCTTTGACATTTATAGTTTCCCCGCATGATCACCATTTTGCTTAAACGGATCTGTGAACCCTATTCACTAGTCTAATTCAGCACCTCAGGCTGCACCTACGACTCTTGAGCTGCCCCCATTCGACCCGAGTCATGTTGCATTGTTCCACGTGGGGAGCTCAAAACATCTCCAAGCTTCAAAACCAACAGCGGAAAACCACTTTGTCACTACCCATCTCGTTGCCCCTCTTGGCGATTTGACTGTCACCTTTAGGCACTTTGGGTATCCTTTTGTAGGGTAACGCAAAAAGCATCCCGGCATAATCCAATTTGAACCAAAAAACGGGTCAGTGGGTGGCTTGACGCTGCCCAGACTTGAGTGGTTTCCTTGTTGTTTTCCTTAAAGCCAACCCAAACCAAGAAACGCAAGGGAAACCCAAAGGAATCAGGGGGCCCCCTATTGTGGAGTGGACGAAATCCATGTCGCCGCACCACAGTTCAGAGACCCTGGTTTCGGATTCGACCCCCATGTAACTACCAACAAACCTTGTGGAATTTCATCCATGGTGGTGCGAAATGGATGTCGCAACCACCCTCTGGATGAACGAAATCCTGCACCACCTAAGACGCCCGGGAATGAGTCGATTCCCATGTAAACCAATCTTATGGTTTCAATCATGGTTTCTTAGGTGGTGCCCAGCTCGCTTGCAAGCGGCAGGTGGAGCTCCAAGAGTTGGAGTCGCTGCAGGGGGTGGACCTGGACATCTCCCCCACCGAGGTGCTGCCCCTTGGACGGTCAGATAAATTCTGACCGGGGGTGATACCACTGGGTCAATATGAGGAATACCGCTGGCATGGATATTTTTCAGATAGCCGCTTTGGCACCCAGAGCTGTATGTTTGTTTGTTTCTTTTTTGTTCAACCGTGGCAAAGCTGCGGTCAGACAAGGCATTCAATTCCTAGTGCCCACACAGCGTGCTGATCAGCCCCAACCGCTGCCGTTCATTTGCAAGCTCCCAGCCTGGCTTCCCAGGCTGAAGCTGCCGGGGGCTTCAGAGTTGCGCATCCCGCTGCCCAAGCCGATGCATGGGGAGGCGAAGGCGAAGTTCTCCAAGAAGCAGAGGCCGGGTTTTCCTGCCCCGCCGGGGGCTGTGGTTCGATGTGACAGGATTCTTTTTGAATCTGGGGCAGTTGGGCACGACGGGGCTTCTGCTTTGTGAAGATTGTTCGGTTGTTTTGCCGCATACTCTATTCACCTTTGGACATGCCTGTGTCCTTACACATTTTGACCATTTGGTAGGACTTGGGTGTCAAAAAGCCAGGCGACCCGAGATGTGATTGCCCTTGTGGCTTCAGTTTGAACCCACCCAACAGAGCACCCACCGAAAAGACAGACCCGTTAAAAGCCAGGCAGCTGACGATCACCTGGCCCGAGCCGGCCGAAGTCGAAGGTGTGGATTGCATTGACCTCCTGAGCCAGGACGCGGTTGGGTCATTCCTCGGCATTCCTCGGCTTTTTTTGTCTCAAGTTTGGATCAGCTTGAGCTGATGGGTTGAATTCGCAGCTTGGATCTATCACCCATTCCTCGTGGTGGTTTCCTTTTGCCTTCCCTTTGAAACCAACAAAAACAGCTGGGTGCCAAACGGGTGTGGGTCAAAATCAAGCTAGCAGGATATGGCTCGCAGGATTTTTAGTCAACTGGTTTCCAGGTAACAGGGTTACATGTTGGATTCGTAGTTTTGACCCACACCCAACTGGTGTTTTGAATTCCCCTTTTGTGCAGATGTTTTTTGCTTTTGCAACTTTGGATCAGGTTCACCACCTTTTCATTTGGAATGGAAGAACGGCGCAGCAGTTTGGCGCAGTAGGCTTGTGCAGGCGTGGACCGGAAATGCAACACAGGACACAACAAGTTGTGTTGCCCAATTTGCTGCTTTCTGCGTGCAACCTGCGTGGGTCGTTCAAAATCAATCCTTAGTCCTTATGCGAAATGGTATTCTGATGTCCTTCGTATTGGCGTCCCACCCAGGTTGTGGATGAGGTAGTCGTAGTGGGACCCCATATTGAAAGCCTAGTCTCGTGGACCGGGTAGGTTCTACATTGCGAGCGGGGGTTGCAACTCAACGAAACAAGGGGCATGGGTGGGTTCTCCAGGAGATCGAGCACGCCCTGAAGCAGTGCAATGTGGAGAAGCTGCAGAAGCTTCCTCAGCTCAGCGGCGGCAGCATCCTGCTGGACAGCTTCGGAATTTCTGGGGAGGCAACGGCCACAAGAGCAGAGTGCCAGTACAAGGCAGGGGGTGTCCATCTTAGCTTCTCTCTCTTGTGGTCGCCCTCCATGAAGATGGTTTGGGGTGGAAACCTTATATATATATATATTATATATATATATATATATTCGGGAAGCACCGCAATTGCTCAAACGCCTGTAAGCCACCCAAACAACCATCAGCAGCAACGCAGGAAGCGTAGTGGCAGGAAGCGAGGCTTCATTTTCAACCAATGAACGCGACAAACTGGGGCCCCTCATTGCATAGTTCTCTTTTATGCCAACTCAAGTATCGCTTTGTGTGCTAATTGTGCCTGAGGTTCCTCTTGGCGGGGTGATGCTTACACTGGGCCGCGTTACAGCCATTGACAAGCGGAGAAAGGGTGCAGAAGCAACAGCCGTCATCCTGGAGGAACCTATTTGCAACCGGACCAACTCACTCCCAAGTAGCCCCTTGTAACCCAGTGTTTCAATCATTGGTTTGTGTCCTTTGGGGTTTCATTCGGTTTCCCCGCAACACAACTAAAGCGGAATCACTCTCAGAAACGCAGAGTCTGCAATTTTGCACCATCTTATCAGCAAGCTTCAAAGTGCACAGACCTCCTGCCTCAGGCTCTGAGGCAAAGCCCGAAGCAGAAGTCCGGCCCCTCTTTGCTCCACCCGGGAGAACGGGTAAAAGGGCATCCTCCAGGAGCCCATGGAGGGTGGAAGGGGGGTCATGGACAACCGGATCTGGCAGGAGCTCTAGGAAAAGGGCATGCTGGGTCGGGTCGGCATGAAGAGGGGAGAGAAAGTGAAGCTCCTCGGGGAAGGCATCCAATCTATGGACCTTATGGAGGTGGACATGCAGCCCAAGGTGGAAAGGGGGTTTCTCGAGATCGCGGAGAAGGGGGCTGAGCTGGAAGTGGGCATCGGCTTTCGGTGCCGAGTGGAGGCATGACCCCGGGAGGACGTGATGGGAAAGGTGAAGGAAGCCATGGAGGCGTTGGACCTTCGGAGGTGAACACTATTCGCGAGGAAGCGAGGGCATCGGCGAGGGCAGGTTTCAGGCCAATGGAGCTCCACATGGTGTGGAATTCAGCAACGAAGGTGTGGGTTCCGGAGGGCAACTTGCCTGCGGGCCTGAGGTATGAGGAGGATGAAGAGCTCATCCCAGGGAGAGGAGAGGAAGACATGTTCGACGTGCAGGAGGCCATGGAGAAGCAATTGATGCTGGCCTGCCGCATGATTCGGGGGATGGAGATGGAAAGGGACTACCTTAAGGGAACCATCGCCGAGAAGGACCGGCTCCTGGAGATGCCGAAGGAACCGCACGATCAACCAGTTCCTGGGTCAGGTCCGGGAGGTCGAGGGCCAGCTTCGAGAAGCCCAGGATGAGGTGTCCGGTTGGAGGTCTTGGTGGGACCGCTGGGAGTGGGGCGGGTCTCAATGGAGGAGGCAAGAAGGAGAGTGGAACACAAATGAGTTTCACACGCCGATGGAGACAGGAGAAAGACATGGAGAAGGTGGACGCCGGGATCGAACAAGGTCCCCACATCCACCCCCGTATCCACCGAGGCCAAGGACGCCAGAGAGGAGGAGGACTCCCGGAGGCACCGAGGTTCCGGGCAGGACACCACCGGTCTCAGGAAAGGGGGGAGGAGCTCTTCGCCTTGAAGGAGGAGGTGGCTACGCCAGGGGTGGAGAACCAAAGGAAGGGGAGTTGTACACCCGGGAGAAGGATTCGAAACAGGTGGCTTGAAGATGGTGCCGGCTACGAGGTCCAGAGACGAATGGGCGTTGACGTGGGAGAGATCAGAGGAACTCGAGAGGCAGGTCCCAGTGCCACCGCCGGGTTTGGATGTCAAGGCCATCGTAGCTCCGGAGCAGGTGCACGAGAAGGTGGCGGAGACCAAGGGGGTGATGGATTTTTGGCCGGAGGATGTGAGGGCGATGTTGGCAGCGGGACAGCTTCGTGAGAAGCGATGAGGGCTGCGGAGTTGCCGAAGTTGCCGGAGAAGGAAGCGGGGCCACTGGCGGCAGGGGACTGGCTAGCGGAAATCCGACCGATTATGATGGACCTTAGCACGAGCGCGGCGGTCTGGTGGGAGCACATCATGCACCACGAAGAGAAGGCCTATCAGGTGGTTGGATATGCGGCCGGTGGAGAGGTTGAACGTGGTCTTTATCCATATGTCGCCCTTCAGGAGCTTCTGAAGAAAGCCCTCGTCCTCGATCATCCTGCCACCCTCCATGAGCTTCTGATGCCCTCGGCCTCGATGGGCTCCCGGATGATCACCTTCGCGAGCCTCCGGTGGCCAGCCTCCAAGCGGAGCCCGACGGCCATCCCCGCTGCTCCCTCTTCCATGCTTTCCCTCCAGATCGACGTCCGCCTCCTTCTCCAGGTCTTCCCTCCTTTTCACATCTTCCCAATACTCAGACCTCCCGCTGCTCAACGTCTCGGGATGTTGCCATCACCTCCACCGGCCTACCCGCCGTCGGTCACCCCGTCCGCGGCCTCGCCGGTTGTGGTGACCTCCTCCTCCGGCTCAGCCACCAGGATGCCCATGCCGGCGACGTCCACCGATCTTCCCCTCCTTCTCCGCATGCCTGGATCCATGGCTGGCCTTTGTCAGGGGGCGTTTGGGCTCAGAACCTATGTGCGCTGCACCGCGCTGTTTGTTCCTTGAGCCAAAATGGTTTCGAGTGCGCCCGTGTTATTAACGGTTCACTAGGATGGCCCCAGAAGCATTTTTTATTTTTTCGTCAAGGTGGCACGTTTGTGCATTAGCTAGGTGGATCTGATGTCAGTGTGGCCAGTGTGTGCAGAAGTGTAAATCAAATAGTTTGACAGTGCCACCTGCTTGGAAGCAACTGAGGAGAATGCTTGTATACTGGCATGCATGTACGCTCATGCATGTTCCCCTTTGCAGGCGTACACTTCTTGCTATTGCAAGTTGTGTAGGATGACCTGATGGTTTTAGTGCCGTTGACAAACAGAAGTTGGCGGGTTGCCTGACGGTACGAGAAGTCTGGACTATGGCGTGGGTGTTGCTCTGTGGCTGCTGTTCCATAGTTGGTGCTGCTGTCACCATGCATGGGATCCACGCGCACGCGTGTCATGTTTGCTGCACCATGGAGTGACAGACTGACTTTGTCATTTTTTGAGCCGACGCAATCTAGCAGTTCTGTTGCACCTTTGGCCTCCCGGATTTGGCCGCTCTGGCTCTGTTGCTGCTGCCAGTTGAAGTGTGGTGTGTGATGGGGTGCTTTGATGACATTGAACATGGTAGCTGCAAGGGTAGTTGCAGTTGCCTCGTTGCTCTTCGCTTGGCACTGCTGATAAGATGCCAGTCATGCTTGAAGCTGCTGTGTTTTGAGTGCAGCCGTATGTGCAACCTCGGCTGATTGCAGAAGAATGGGCGCGGCTTAGTTGTGTGGCTTTGCAACGACTTCCGCAAATGCTAGTGCTTCTTTCAATCTTGCGCAGACACAGTGGTAGCGTTGTGCTGTTGTGTCGTAAAACTGCACTTTTGCTCCTTTGCACTACGCACGGCGCAGCGTCTTATGTTGGTGTTGCACCCAACCGTCGTATGGCAAATGTCATGACTTGTATATGATGGGTACTACTGTATGTATAAACATGTACATGTACAATATATACAACTTACTGGTGTGCGCGGGGAAACGCGGGTTCTCACAGGCAATGTCAGGGTTCAGTGTTCTAGCGAAAGGCGCGGATGAAAATGCGCTCAAAGGGTGGGATTTTTGGCCCGTGTTTGTTTGTGTGCGCAGGCCTGTTTGTTTGTGTGTGTGTGTCTGTGTTTAAATACGTGTTCGTGTGAGTCGATGCGTGGATGTTTGGCCATGAATTGAACCTATCCAATGGTTTGTTGCATTGGGGCCAGCTTACTTTTTTTTCATGCGATGCTGATGTGGTCATTATCTTCCTCAAGAGCATGCACCTAGCAGGGGCCTCAGAGCGAATGTGGCAACTGGTTCCAGACTTATGCTGAACATTCTACTAGACATTGCAGGCATGATCAGAACCCTATTTTTTTCCGGTTGTCAATCACATTCGGCATTGCAGAGGCTTGGACCATTGACCTACTGACAAGAGTCTTGCACATATCACGGTGTCGTTGCTTTAATGACTCAATTATCGATGGGGTGCATTGCCGAGGTTGTGGAGGGAGGAAGCCAGTGTCAAGACGCAAAGCCGGATCGGTGCCCCGCGCAGTTGTTCAGTCGGTTGCAAGCGGAAAGGCCACGTGAGACGAGATTCATAGGTTCAGCCACTTGTTGCAACACTTATGTCAAATCTTGCCTGGACCTTTGCTGGTTTTGAAATTTGAATCTGAACATTGCTGGTTGCGACTGCTGATGGAGTTGTTGAGTTGCTGATCTGACGTCCTCTAGAGATTGGCTTGTGCGACTTCCGCAAGATTTGGCAGCCTTGAACAGGCAAGACAGTGACAGGTGACCATGACTGACTTGGAGCATTTGACTTTGAGCAGGTGGCTATGACTGTCAGCAGGAAGCATGGCAAGTCAAGCCTGCAAATGCAAAGGAATCAACCAAGGAAGCAGGCAAGCAAGCGAGCGCAAGCAAGCAAGCAAGCACGCAAAGTCGCCTTCGGCATCATGGATCCTGTGCGGCGGCAGGTGGTGGTGGTCGCCTATGGGGCGGAGGAGAGGTACGACGGTGAGCCCGGCCACGCCATCATTCCGCGGTTCTTGAAGCGGGAGTACAGGGATCACACGGTGGGCACCTTGGACGTGCCTTGGCCGAAAATGTGTTTTATTTGGACTTTAAAGTCAAGGTGTCTATTCATCACTTGTCCTACGACAATTCAACAAACCGATGCCCCGAGAATGATAACTCGCAACTCACGAGATGACACTGTAATCATTGCAGGCCGCCGCATCTGTCACAAGCCACAACTGTTAGCGAAGCTGCTGTTTGGAGAAGTTAGGCCTCTGTGGGCTCCTGTTGCAAACTACGAGCGCCCTCCTGCAAACTCCCCAAACAATCAAGAAATTGCG